ATCTGGTTTGATGTGGAAGAAGAAAGGGTTCAGAAACAAATTTCCTGGGAAATCCAAACTTCAGACATTTTAAGGAGAACAGTGGTTACAAAGATGAGTGAGGGGGAAATAGAGATGTAAATTAGCCAACACAATTCAGAGTGCTAAGTGTAAAGTGGTCTCAGGCCCAGGATATTATGGGGAGGCCTAGGAGGGGAGGGGCAGACTGGAGAAAGCCCTGAGACCCAGCAGAGGCCCATTAACCCAGTGCTGGGGATCCTTTTTTCCTTCTCACTCTCTGATGGCTAAGATTTGGACTCCCTGATTTCTCATTCTCATGCAGGGAACATGTTTCTCATAGAACTTAACCAGAACTGGAACAATAGTTCTCATAATTGGTGATTCTAATGTTTCTGCATTTCAACATGTGGACTACTATAAAGAGTTAATAAAGAATATTAAGTGCACAGTTTCTGGATTCAGGCTTTCTCCATTCAAATTCTGGCTCTACCACTTACAAGCTTTGTGACTGAAAGCAAGTCATTTATAGCCTTTCTAACTTTGTCCTAGTCTGCAGAATGGGGCAAGTACTTCTTAGAGTTGCCATAAAGATTAAATGAGAGTGGTACATACAAGCACTTAGAGCAGTCTCCACATATAAAACCCATTCTAGTTTATAAGGTCTCAGTGAAATCTCAGATGAATACAAGTTATTTTTATGTATTCTTTTACTAAAAAGGAATTGTGAGTTTATAGTGCCATCTTAAGGATAAAGCAATGATATAATCTTATCACTTCATCATTCTTTTTATTATTACTAAGCAGTATAAGACTCATTTTAGCCAACAGCTGGGCAGTGCCACTCCCTGCACTTTGTTTTTCCACTCCACTCATTATTAATGGTTCTTCTTCACTGTGTGCTTACCTATCCCTGGCAGAATTTATCATGCTAACCCTAACTTCTTGGTTATATAGCCATCTTCTCAAAAATAGTCTCTTACTCAGATTAGAGAAGACAGCTCTGAAATGTAACAAAAGCCAATACAGTACACTGTGAAAAAGCAGGTAGGTGTTAAAGGGAAGCAAATAAAACTTGAGTGCACACACACAAACACACACACCCCCACCAAAACAGTCATTAAAAATAAGTGTAAAAGACAACCAATTAGGATATCTAATAGAAGGGAAATGGTGAACTGGAAAAAAAGTAATAACCAAAATCCAGTAAAGGGAATAAAGAAATAGAAAATATTAAGAAAAAGAGTAAATGAGAGTCTAATGTATTAAAATAACAGGTCTAGAAAGAGAGAATGAAGGAGCGATAATATTGAAAGAGAATATCCAATACTATTTTAGAATTAATCATAAAGAGAATTAAGATCATGAAGTCCAATAAATTCTGGGTGATACAAATAAAATTCAGTCTACACCTAGAAACACCATTATGAAACTAGAGAATACCAAAAACAAACAGATTTTAAATGCAACCAGAGTGAAAAAATAGATGAGCTACAAAAATGAAAAATAAACAAAATCAAATATATCAATAATGAAGTGGGCCGGGGATTTAGCTCAGTGGTTTCGCCGCCTGCTGCGCAAGCGCGAGGACCCGAGTTCGGTCCCTGGTACCAAAAAAAAAA